AAGATCCGAGTTGGGCAAAAATTAACCTGGCAAGGGGAAGTGAAGTCACAGATGATCAAACTTGTTGACGTCAGTCCGTCTCGCCTTCCAGGCTAGAAACCAGGTGACTCGCCTTGTGCTTGGTTCGAGACTTTACAGGACATGGTTCACAGCCGACACCAGTGGCGTGTCTGCAGCCAACTCCTAGTCGGACAACCTATTCAACGTGCGTTTGGTGCTGAGTTATCTGCAGCGTCATGGCTGATTATGACGCGCGGCAGTGAAAGCTGCAAGGAAGCTGTCTCATCGATGCCGCCTTATCTTTGAACCATTGCCATTTATTTGTGACGGTATGTTATGGACAAGGTGTAGGCGCCCTGACCCCGAACGTTTGCTTAGGGCATTAAGGTTTTACCTCAGGTCCCAATTCTCTCCCTCTTATTGTTCATCGTTCCGTAGGTCACTGTGGTTGTACGGCAGTGAAGCAGCAGTTCACGTGGCTGATGTACTGCCGTTGAGGATGATGGTGATGATGATGGTTACTGGTTGGAAGCAGCAAGAAGATGTTTCTCTGTGTAGCTGCATCTAATGTCACTCAGGGACTAAGACCCCTTAGGTTGGGGTGCGCTCGATATACTTTTTATCGGCAGTGTTTGTCCAGGAATTTTTAAATTCCGACATCGACTTTGCCTCATCTACGTGCTGCGGCAAGTCGTTCGATACATTCAGCACTCTGCGTTTGAAAGAGAGTTGGTGAGTGACCCGCTTCAAATCCGGTACGACAAGCTTGTACCGATGTCCTCGTGTGCTGTTTGGTGTGCGTAGATGAAGCAGCGGCCTCAACATGGGGTAATCTCCCAGATGTACTATCCGGTGTGTCATGATGAGGTCAACCCGCAGTCAACGATAGGCTAGGGTGTAAAGCCCTAGTTTCTTACACTAGTGTTCGTACGGCACACCTCGTAAATTTGGAATCAGCTTGGTGGCTACATGCTGCACTCGCTCAATCTTTTCTACCTCGCCTCGAGAGATAGGACACTACGCGGGAGAGCCATACTCTAGCATTGGTAGTACTATTAAAACGAAGAGGCGAGTGGCAATCTCTTGGGGTCAAGTGCTGAAGCTGCGCCTGAGCACCCAAAGCATACGAAGGCCATTTTGGTAAAGCCAATTCGTGTTGTCCATGGACTTTAGGTCGTAGCGTGAAAGTACAACGAGGTCTCGCACGAAAGGCGTGGGATGCAACGGCTGACCGGCCACTGCGTAGGTTTGACTGTGCTCACACTTACCCAGCCTCATGAATTGGGACTTGACCAAGTTGATCGGAAGGTTGACCTCTGCAGACCATGTGGAGAAGTGGTCGAGGTTCCGCTGAAGCAGGTCACAGTCATTGGGTGTGCGGATTCCTCTCCACACCTTCAAGTCATCTGCGAACAACGCACAAGGCGATTGGAGTAGCTGAGGCACATCGCTCACATGGATCGGAAACAAAATCGGCCCCAGTACAGTGCCTTGGGACATGACACTGCTCGATGGATATCAGTCGGCCAAATGGCTGTCGACCTGGACCCTCCACTTTCGACCAACATGAAAATGCCTGATCCATTGGTGCAGCGAGCTGCCAACACCGTACACCCTCAGCCTGTCGAGGAGTACTGCATGATTTACCTTGTCAAAAGCCTTATTGAAGTCAATGTAAATGATGTCGACCGACTTGTCTTGGTTCGGCACTTGCAAGCATTCATACCGCGTCAACAGTAGATTGGTGGTGCAAGAGCGACCTTTCACAAAACCATGCTGTGCGAGCGTCAAGAGGCTTTTCGACTCAAAAACCTGAAGAAGACTCTTCTTCACGATCTTCTCGAGCGTCTTTGCCAAAACAGCGGTCACGCAGATCATCCGGTAGTTATCCACTTTGCTTGGGTTACTACCTTTCGGTATTGACTTTACGACTGAGCATTTCCAGTCGCCTGATAATAGTCCAGCAGATGGTGACTTGTTGAACAGCTCAGTTACAGAAGGCGAGATGATGGCCGATAGGATTAGTGGGTGAATTCCATCTGGCCCGGAAGGCTTCGTCCCGTCAAGACTTGCCAGAAGCTTGCGTGTATTTTGAATACTGCAATCCAGGCTGCCAAGTTCAGAGAAAGCGGTACTCGTCGAACTCGTTACAGATACCTGGTTACTTGCAAATACGGAAGCGAAGTGCGTCGCCAATGCGGACGCACGATCTGTGCTCGAGGTTAGGGACTGTCCATCTGAGCCTTCCAACACTGGCACATTGCCTGCAGGCCTCAGGCGCCGCTTCACGTAGGCGAAGATCTTCTTGGGAGCAGTTGTTGCGGCGGTTACAAGCTGCTCTTCGAAGCTTCTGCGCATTTTTGTTTTCGCGTTGTTGCAGAGATTTTACTGTATCTTGTACATCTGGTAATCCTCATTACAGCCAGATAACACGCATTTGTTCCATAGTCTGCGTCGGCGTCGGACCAGTTTGCTGTACTCCTTGTCGAACCTATGTGGCTTGAGGGGTACAAATCGGACGCACAACGGTTTCAGTAGACGAATCCTATGGTATCGACCAGTCCATCTGGCTCGCTGCTCGAGTGAGGCCGTTAAAGTCCGCCTTCCAATAGTTGAAGACTGGCTCCAGTGGGGGAAAATACGGCAGCGGTAGTTCCAAGCTGGTTATGCTTATCGAGTGGTCACTTGCTCCCAGGGGCTCCAGGACTTGAATGTCATGTACACGTTGCTCAAAGCTGGTCAAAAGTAGGTCTAAGCAAGATGAAGCCAGGCGTGCAGTTATGCGCGTCGGTTGGTTGATGTGCTGTGTGGCCCCGATTGAAATATCAACTCCGTAAACTTCCTATCGATTTCACAATGGCCGGGGAGAAGTTCAGCCACACGCCACTGTATTTGGGGTAAGTTGAAATCGCCCATGAGTAGGAACAGCGGACGACTCATGTGGTTGCGGACATGCGGCAACCAGTCCAAGCAGCGGCTCAGTGGACTGCGATATACCACGCCCACGAGCATCTCGCAGCGTCTGAGATGAATCGAACACCATAACTGCTCACATAGACCATCAGCGCTCCGGTAGGTGATCACTAGTCTCCCACACAAGGAAGAGGTTATGTAAAGCAGAACGCCACCGTGATCGTTTGATGGACTATCACAGCGGAAGCACGAGTAGCCGCTGCTTTCCTTTTCTTAGGCGGTTACGTCGGAGTTTAACCATGTCTCAGTAAGGTCTAATACGTCTGGCCACTGAGAAGTTACAAAGTAGTGCAGCTCATCGCGTTTGTTCATCAGACTGCAGACGTTAGTAAAGATTAGGCGTAGGCCGCGGTAGGAACCGCTGGGCGCGCCTGTAGAATCAGAAATCTGTTGATCCGAATTCGCGGATGAATCTGGGTGACTAACCGAAAATTACAGTACGGTGATTTGTTTCTAAATCGTTCGTGCGTTGCTTTAGTTCAGTCACCGCAGACTTGAGTTTCTGTCTGCTGGGTCTAAGTAAGCGCGCATGTGGATCTTTAGACCCTTCAGTCTATTAAGGAGGGACAATATTAACTTAGGACTTGCCACTTCAACAAAACTCACCCTAATAGATGGACTTTTGCCTTCGGTTATCTTTCCGATAAGAGCGATCTGTTTCACTTTTACTCCGCCTTCATCCACGTCGAGCAGTCTATCAATCAGAGTTTGCAAAAACGACGTTATACTCATGGCGCACCTGAGGATTGGAATTACAGGATTCAGGTGCGTGAAAGAACACAAGATTGCGGCACCTCAGGTCGCTGGACATTGTTCTTGGTTTCTTTGGTATTTGCATTTTCCATTCGTTATCACCAATTTGCTTATTGCAAATTAGAGCTTTAGTGTCAACTGAAGGAATTATAGGCCTTGAAGCCGAACCTGCAGGAGCGCTAGCACTTTGCTTCAGGGATAGATTTGCTGTCGTACTAAGCGCTGGCTGTCTCTCTGATTGTGGTGCAGGACAAATCGAGCTGCGCGTTTTAGCGCACTCCGCTCTACTGATCCGCTTGTCAGGCTTTTCCACTCCATTCTGCCCAAGTTTAAACTGACATCGCTTACAAATGGTCTTCAAAAAGTCGTGCTGAATGTCTTGAATTACTCGAAATTGGTCCACAGACGAATACACGAAATAGGAAACTTTAGGTTGCATAAATTGTATGTAATCGAATTTGCGCGATGTCGAACGACTTTGGAGCAAAGACCACAAGGTGACGATAATGATGACGGTGATGATAAATAGAGGGCAGTCACGGTGACGCAGCAGTCTGAATAGCCTTAGGACATAAAAGCGAAACAACACGATGTGGGATTGAGTTTGTGGGGTATAGGGGCGCGATTGTAGCCGCGAGGTAGACAATCGGGGTCAAAAGAAAGTGGAGTGAACACAAAAAGAGCGTCAGTGAGTGACGCTCCGTACGCGCCACTTTGCTAAATACAAGCGCACTGACGATGTCACCTCGAGTGGTGACGAAACGTTTGCAGTCAACCTGCCAAGCTCAGCGAACACTCAGACAACCAACTAAAACACAGCTGGTAAACTGAAGGGAACTCGAAAAACGCGCAGATTGCCAACGAGCCTGCCCAATTCGACACAGAGGGAGAGTTGAAGTGCCCAAACTGAAATGTCGCTCAAGGTGCGGACAGTGACACAGCCTGACTGGTAATGTACTACAAAGTAGAGGACAGGTAATTACTGGCTAGTCTCAAAAAACGGAATTGACGATGGATAAGAAAATGTAGAAGATGGAAAAGTTTCGATCGGAGTACTGAGGGCAGACAATGCTTTGACCTAACGATCCTGGTACTTGTTGAGTCTGAACATTATACACTAATGTGGACAGAGCTAGGGGTATACATAGAAGTGGGATTTTCCAAGTAACTGCCATGGCAAATCGCAATATTGAGATGAAACGGAAGTCTCAACAGGCACCTAGTTACGGTGACAATATATAGCCGCATCGACTATGTGCACGAGGTTTACTTACCATAGGGCGACGGATGTGAAGGTTCAGTAAATGGTCGATATCCGAACGGCTCATCAGCGGCTGAAGAGCGAGTTGCAGCTCTAACATGAGAATGGTCTGAAAAGGGGAAGATTTATTAGAAAACATAAGTAGGGGATAAAACCCATAACGAGAGAACATCTCCATGGATGAAAATAGTAAAGCATCGTGTGTCCATTAGCCCGCGATTTTGTCTGCCCCATAAGATTTAGTCTTTTGAAAGCGCCTCCAGTGTTGCACATATCATGCTTTTTCGCTTCAGATGGATTCGACTGACTTAAGTAGATCAATTTACTCTCGGTAAAATTGCTGGCTGCTTGATTACATGCCTACTGCTTGAATTGTCTTAGACTAGTTCTGCTTCACATTCGAACAAACAACTTTCGGTTGTGTTGAAACAGTGGTTCACCACTTTCGCCCTTAGACAGACGTTCGGTTCTATAAGATGATCCCCCGAGTAGAGGAAGTCGAAACTGAACCACTAAGCTTGAGCCAACAGAAACTTGTGCACGTAAACCAGCAGCTGCCACATTACTCGTGCAGCCAGAAGTGGGAGCATTGGCGACCATAGCGACCAATAGCTGACTCGGGACAATAGCAGTATGACCATAATTCGGAAAGATCACACCACTCAGGTTATAGGCGGCACGCTTGAAGACACGGTCGGGGAGCGGAAACAGTGGAAGAACTGTGTACAGAATTGTATTGATGTACATGTTCGATGCATCAAACACTGAAAGTGACAAAAATAATCGGCGTGTAAAATCCAAGCAAAAAGCGTTTCGTTTGTTGTTGATCTAATTGTACTTCCCTTTAAGTACCACGGTATTTTCGATAGCGCGAGAGTTAACCGCTCACTGAAGCTTGTGGTGGCGAGATCCTGACAGATCGGTGACCCGCTGCTCAGTGTGTTGTACCGTGGTCTCATGCCCTAGACATCTCGTGGCAACCGCTGAATGGGAGTTGGATTACCCATTTCTTCCAGCTAAGAGCCGGGACACACGCAATTCCGCGTGAGTAATTTCACAAACACACGGCACACGGCTCGCGGCTTTTCGGAAGTACATTTCGTCGACGATTTTGACTGATGACAGAATCGTCCTCCTATCAGGCGTGAACGCCTTGATAATATTCCAGTGCAACAACTAGCAATGAATCACACCAATAATAATAACGTCACGTTGCATCGGCCGTGGCGCAGTGTCACTAAAAAAGCTGCAACATCTGCTGTATGAAGCGGGGTGGATTTGCGAGAACAAACTACCGCTGACGCCTCCCTTCCTTCTCCTTCCCTTGCACAAACCTCTCTCGGTACCGTTTCAACTAACCCAGAACTTCCTCCAATCCAGGTCACCACACGAGCGATTACCCGGCGCAAGTGTTTGCCTCCGCACAAAGCGCTCAAAATCGGGCGTTGGAACGTGCGCACACTGCTCGTTTGGAACACGAGTCTTAGTCCCCAGTGACGATCTGCACTGGTCGGAACGGAACTCGTGCTCTGCCGTATTGACAGTGCTGCATTCCGTAAGATACGCCTCGCTGACTACGACAAGTTGCATGAGGTTGGTGCTGGTTACACGTCCTATTGGGTGGGAAACGCCACCACGGCACCACATGAACATGGACTCGGATTTGCACTATAGGATCGCCTAAATGGCCAAGTGCGGGAGAGCCAAGTAACAGCAACCCATGACTGATGACTGTTCGTCTTCGACGTATGGTCTCATCACTTGTTATCCGGATGACACAATGGATCAATTTCATGCTGCTACCCTCGGTGATACGACTATTCCTACTGGGTGAATTCAATGCGTGCGTTGGGCTTGATGTTGCAGTGTGGACAGACGTAAGCAGACCGTACGGTATTGGCACAGCTAATGGGAAGGGAGACTGGCTGTTTTCACTTCGGGCCACTCACGGCCTAACGGTCACAAACACTCAGTTCCCACCGGATGCGAGTGATATAACTAATTGGGCACATCAACGGAGTGGTCACGCTCACCTGCTTGACCGTGTAATGCGTGAAATGCGCATGACACGTGTACTCCGTGGAGCTGAGTGTGGCACCGATCACAAATTGGTACGGACAAAATAAATAAATAAATATTTACTCACGTACATATCGTTTTTGTGAACTATGAATTGCTTGCCTGCCATGAATCGGAGGTGCAAATTTATTGTTCGTTCCCTGGGTACTTATGAAAAGAGTAAGGAACTGGAGAATGCGATGAATATCCGCCAAGGCGATATCGAACACATCGACTCAGTTAGCGACCTGTGGCACCACATCTGTGAACAGGTGACGGCTGCAGCCCGATAAACCATCGGGCGCCAAAGTGCAAGCGGCCCGATTGGTTTGATGACAACTGTGCGAACACTGGTGCATTGATGTCAGGGAAGAATGCAGCGTTCGCTGGACATGTGGATGACCCAGCCGATGCAGTGGATTCATTTTCGTAAACTTCGAAGCAAATAACTCGAGAACTCCGCCGCAATAAGAATGCATGTTAGATGAAAAAGACGAGGCAGATGGAATGCTACGTCGAACACCGCCAGCATAGAGAATTCATTGACTCATTGTACGCGGTGTATGAACTAACATTGCAGCCGTTGAAGACGCTGCTCGATCCTACTTCAGGCGCTGCCTGTACACAGAGTGCGGACATAATGCAGATCTGGCGAAAGCACATCGATTGTCTCTTGAACAATCGTTCAAAGAATGACTGGGCTGTGTTACATGGGCTGTAACCACGAGAAATGATGTGTCTTGTCGACACCTCGACAGTGTTTGAAAAGCAGAGGGCAATTGCTAAGCTAGGAAACGGCTAGTGCACCGGAGCCGATGGAATACCGCCGGAAGTACTGAACAACGGCAAACCCGCGTTGATGCGTCAGCTCCACCACTTGGTGCACGCGTTTGGCTTAAAGAATAAATGCAGGCTGATTTGATGAAGGCCCTTGTGTTACCACTGTATAAGAGCAAAGGGAGCAAGCAATGTACCACGAAGTATCGTGGTACCAATTTGCTGAGCTGTGTGGGGAAGGTGATCACAAGAAACCTGTTTACCCGCCTCGTCACTTCCACATACGGCGGAAGAGCAATGTAGATTCCGTTCGGATCGCAACAAAACAGATATGATGTGTTCGACTAATTAATTACAGGAGAAATGCAGAGAGCGACACCAGCCAGTGTACACGCTGTTTGCAAAGTTATCCAAAGCATTTGACACGGTGAACCGCGAGACACTGTGACCAGTATTGGGCAAACTCGGTGACGTGATTAAGTTTGTAAGTCTGATTGAATGTCCGCACAGTGGTATGCGGGCGAGGACGAAGCTGCGCGAACAAACCTTGGATGACTTTGCAGTTATCTCTGGTGTGAAACAAGGCTGCATCTTAGCTCCTGTTCTATTTAATATTTATGTAAATGCTATGATGTTTTGTGCAGTTAATGCTTTTGACTACGGTATCCGTGTGGAGCACTGTAGTGATGTTTGCTGAACGTACATAGCTCCGGGGCGAAAACTCTAGTGTGTGAGACAACTGCCCGTATGTCGCTGTTTGCCGACGACTGCGAGTCGTTTGTACACAGAGCGGATGAGTTACAGAATATGACTTGAGCTCTCGCTTCGACAGTCGCCAAGTTCGGGCTCATCATCTACACAATCAAGGCGTTTTATTTTTTCAAACTTCCCGAGAAATGGAGTCTGTGGACCTGTCGCAAATCCAGATTGTTGATGGCATATTGGAGCCAACATCGAAATCATGTAACCTTAGCAGCGTAATACCACCGACCTACTGATGGCTAGCGAGCTGCTACATTGGGCAAACTGAAATATAGTGTATGGAAAAACCACCAGCTAATTGTTCGGACGCACCTGACGGTGTGTCTGTCGATGGTGTTATCCGCAGTTCTATACGGCAACGAAACGTGGACGCTGTACGGAAGTACGTCAGATACCTGAAGCGATCTGAACAGCACTGCCTGCAATGGATTCTGCGCACTAACTGATGTGACAGTTGCATACATGGTGCTCCACCGCAGTGCCATGAATGGATTGGATTACATACTTCCGTTGCGGCACTTGAGGTGGCTGGGGCATAGTAGTCGCATGGACTTGACGCAGATACCCAAGCAGCTCTAATATGGGCAACGTAGTGCAAGGAAGCGGCACATGGGCAAATCGAAGCTAACTTAACAGGACATGATCAATGTGAGCTTATCACGAACTTTGAATGTTAATGGCAGTGGATGGTAGCCAATGGGGCACCCACATCAAGAGTGCGGTTGCGCAGGTAAGCGATAAAGTATTGCAGCATAAGACAGAGAAGTGTCAGTTGGGGAAGCTACAGGTGCCGATGGAGTCTAGCCCATAGACGTATAGCGTATGGTGCCGTAGCACATTAAGTCGTGAGTGCCCCAGCCAAGCTGTTCTGGTAAGCCACTAGCGTGGGCACGTGGGGCCGATATCAAACAGGCAACGAGACAGGTGATTAGGCAATCAGTGTCAGCGCAGCGCTTGGTAAGGTCACTGCTTCAGATTCAATTTATTAACCCAGTCCAATAATGTGGTCGATTTAGCGGGTGTTACCTCCTCGCTGCATTTGGGCTGTACTGTTGCGTGTTGATTTGCTTATATTTCAGGTGTTAGCTGTTGATTGATATACTCCGTGTGTCTAAGCTTGAGGTGAATGTTGACAAGGTGCCTGCCAGTCGAAAAATCCCTACCTCGATTATGCTGGTTCTAAAAGACAATAATTCATCGCTTGGGAAGACGGGAAGCACAGTTGTCGAAACGGTGCAAGGTTCGAAGTGTAGCCCCAACCAGCGAGGAAGGGGTTACGGCCTAGCCAACGCACTGTGTATGCTGGTACGCATATGTTCGTTGGACATGATCTACAAGGTGTTGCGCTGTTTCCAGGCCAGCGATCTGTTGACTTTTAGTACGCGAACATTGCTTTAATCTGTGACAGCTCCCAAACGTGTTAAACAGCACTAGACAGATCAGCATTAACTGTCAGTCGTTTCGAGCTATATTTTGCACCCTCAAAATGCAAAGTCCTACCCAAAGATTGAC